AAGAGAGAGAGAGAGAAAAGGAAAGAAAGAGAGAACGAGAGAGAGAGAGAAAGGGGAAAGAGAGAGAGAGAGGGAGTGAAAGAGCCTGTTCTAACAGGATGAACTTTCAACCAACACAAATAGCAACTGAAATGTTCATCAGAGTACCATATTTCTGCAGGGCATCACGTTTGGGGAAAATGGGTTTATTTCTTTCGAGATGGCTAGATTCCCCCCCCCCCCCGCCCCCAATCCTGGCTTTAGGTGAAATCTGAACTGAACCTGTTCAGACTTCACCCTCCCTGCTGAAGTTTTTTAAAAAAAATTTATTTATATATATTTTTCCCTTAAATATACATAAGTGCTTAATGTACAGTGTATTGCCTGGATCCATTTGCTTATACAACAAAATGGTATCATAGTTATAATAGTAGTAGTAACATTTACTTGTTTATAATAATAATCTTTCATCATTTACTTACACATCTTTTTCCCTCTATTTTCTACCTCTTTTATCTAACCACTGATAAAACAAGATCCCACGTTGAAAAGTATTCTGTTTCTTCCTTATCTTTTATTTTTAGTGTCAATCTGTCCATCTCCGCACAATCTAGTACTTTTTTTTAATTATATTTTCATCACCCTCCCTATTGAAGTTGTTAAAAGGAGAGGAAAATGCAATTTAAAAAAGGGGGTAAGCATTTTTGTTTCCTAAAAGCCTCTCTGGTGCTAAATACATTAGAGTGACTCCAGTTTGACTTGCTCTGGGTTGTGTCTTTTAAAGGCATGGCTGGTATGCTGGTTGAATATCAGATCTGCCTGCAAGAGGGCAGCCCAAGATTCTCGCGGAAGGTTAAATGAAATTTAATGCTAGCAAATGAATTGCCTCCTGCTAGATCCACTTCTTCATTTATGCTCTCCCATCTCCCTATCGTGAAGTTTCTAGGGAAATTGAGAAACCGAGAGATCTTTTCCGGAGAACAAACCAAAGCAGTCAGAATGGTAACTACCCCACGGGAAAAGTGGGGTCTGCAACCTTAAAACACTCAAAGAGCCATTTGGACCCATTCCCCACAGAAAAGAAATCACCGGGAGCCTCAAAACCTGAGTGGGCATGGCCAACTCAACATCACTCCCACCCAGTCACATGACACACGCACCGCCACACCGACCCAGGTTTTGTGGCTCACGGTGTTTTCTGTGGGAAACGGGTCTCTCTCTCTCTCTCCCTCCCTCTCTCTCATTTCTGTTTTTTTGTGTTTTATCTTCTCAGGCCAGGCGAGGAGTGACTGGGACAGGAGGCCGAGAGGCTGGGCCAGCCAGTATGGTGGGCTCACCCAACAGGGAGCCACAGCGGAGAGCCCAAAGAGCTGCATGCGGCTCCAAAGCCGCGGGTTGCTGATACCCGGTATATACTGTTCACATAGATACAGAACTCAAAAAATATTTCTCTGGTTTTTTAGAGTTGCCAGCAAAAAGGGATGGGGGGAAGTAGCGCATTCCTTAAATGCTTCATAGATAAGTTCTAGGCAACCGAAGCTTCTGGCATGCAAGATTATTACTGGAGGCCATGATTGATGACTCTTGGCTATGGATGTGTCCCACTGGAGAATATACATCCAGGGGGCGGGGGAAGACCAGGGTCAAGGGTGAAATGAATGATGTGTCTCAGAGTCGGCTAGAGACTCATAATTTAAATGGGGGTGGATGCCGGAGCCCTAGCAACAGGTAGTTTTTGGATGAACCAATAGAGACATTCAGAGCCGGAATACTGCAAGCAGAAGGAATTATTAACTTGATGCGGCACCGTTTCTGCAAGCATTACTACTTCCTTCAAAAAGGTGTCATCTGACAAGCCAGGTCCTAACTTGGGTAAAGGAGAGAGAAAATCTTCAGAGGGTTAAAGAAGGAACTCTACCCTACTGTAAATATGCCTTCGCTATCGATTATCGATAGTGAAACAGCACAAGTCTTTACAGGAGACCAAAACAGGAACAATTTTTATAGTGCAAGCATTCAGTAATAGCATCTTGGGATGTGTGCTTTAAGTTCATTTTTATTAAACCCTAGAAACATGATTTTTTTTTCATTAAAAAAATAATAATCCGGCTTAAGAGAAGCCTGTCTGTTCTATGGTTGAACTCTAAAATGCACCCATGACCTTGATTTGATACCTAAATGCACTGGAGGTTTTTAAAGAAGAGAGTGGACAGCCATTTGCCTGAAATGGTATAGGTTGTCCTGACTGAGTAGCAGGTTGGACTAGAAAAGTGGTCGCTAACCAGTGTGCCAGGAACCACTGAGAAAATTGTGGTGTCCACAGAGAAATGTCGCCCCCAAAGCAATTAATCAGGCTCCGCGGGAACACAAGGCTGTGCCGCCCACATGGCCCGCGGGAGCACAAGGCTTGCATCGCTTGCATTGCAAACAACATGAGGTAGTGAGGGGAGGGGGAAAGGACTTGCCCCCCTCACGCCATGCGCCTGGTCTAGCTAGTGGGCTGCTTTTTCCACCTCTTTCTCTTTCTGCTTTTGGCTGCACACACAGAAAGCAGCCAAAGTCTTTCTTTCTTTCCCCCAAAGTCCACCAGAAATGAGTCTTTGGGACCCCGCAAGGCATCCTGCTCCAAGAGGCTGCACTGAGAAAGAGAGAAAGAAAGACTTCTGCTGCTTCTGCTGCTTTCCTTGCACGAAGCCAAAAGTCTCTCTCTCTCCCCCTGAGAATGGAGCTGGAGATGGAATCTTGTGATCCCAAATAAAGAACGATCTATCGGTAGGAAAACGGGGTGGGGAATTTTCCTTCAGGTTTTTGGGGGGATTTTCCCAGGGTCTCTGTTGCTTTCTGCAGAGACCCTGGGAAAACGTCAGCAAGCCACCGTCAGTCAAAATTCATATTAATGGTCCGCGGTATTTAAAATTATGAGTTTGGTGGTTCCTGAGGTCCAAAAGGTTGGCGACCCCTGGCTTAGAAGACTTCCAAAGTCCCTTCAAACTCTATTATTCTTTTGTGTTCTGTTCATAAATCAGGTTAGAGGAGCAGGTTTTTCATAATAAATAAAGAAACACAAGCCCATTAATATGGGAAAAAAAGCTTATCCCCTTACAGTTTGCTGATTCTGGAGATTGCCATCATGGGGGAAAAAAACCTGATTCCATACTGAAAGGGGAGTTAAGATACCTTCGTGCTAAGATCTGGCAAGTTTAACTATGTGTTGTGGAATAAGCCACCTCATGTGGATTCATGGAACACACCAAGCCATAAACCACAATTTACAAACCAGAGTTGAGCCTAAGAATGTATTTTGTTTGGTTTCTGCTCTGCAGGTCACACAGAGCCTTTAACAAGACCTAAGCAGGGATGAGTCTGTCCAGTGATTTAGTGGCCTTCCTTCTGGTGCCAGGAGAGACCAGAAGGTACATTAATGGGTCACACTGAAACCGATATGAAGAGTGTGCTAAATATTCCATGGCCAGCCCTATAATCTGGATGTCCATTTTAGGAGAACATGGCTTTAAGGCCATTAATGTTGGGCTGAACTTCAAATAGTCCCTTCGGGATTTGTTCCCCAAGACAGGCAGATGACACAACAGGATTTGTACTAGATCAGCCAGTAGATTTGCAAATAATTAAATGGTTAGTTAATTAAATAGTAGGAATAACTTTTTCTACATGCAACCTTGACCTTCTGTCTTGTTAAATATATATATGGATGGGTTGTGAGATGCAGTTGTTTTCATGAATCTTCTTGCAGAAATGCAGGCCAGTTATAGACAGAGTTTATAAGTTGTGCTAAGAGGCAATTTATCTCTAATCATGGTTTGCTGGTTAGGTTCACACAACCTGCTAAGCCATTAAATCTGATGAGCAAATACACAACCCAGGTTAGCAACATGCCATTCTGTAACCATTTAACATGCTATGCCCAAACAAAAAGGGGCTGCCCCAAAGAAGAGGGAGCCAAGCTATTCTCCAAAGCACCTGAAGGCAGGACAAGAAGCAACGGGTGGAAACTCATCAAGGAGAGAAGCAACTTAGAACTAAGGAGACATTTCCTAACAGTGAGAACTACTTGCCTCCGGAAGTTGTAAATGCTCCAACACCGGAAGTTTTTAAGAAGAGATTGGACAACCATTTGTCTGAAACGATATAGGGTTTCCTGACTGAGCTGGGGGTTGGACTAGAAGACCTCCAAGGTCCCTTCCAACTCTGTTACATTCTGTTTCCAAAAAGCCTATACGAGGACTTAAGGATGAGAAGTCTTTATATAACCAGCAAAGCAAGTGTCTAGGTTTTCTACCATCTGCTGAACCACAATTAAACTCAACCCAAAATTTGCCTAGATACATCTTGTCAGGACCATAGTTTTTTTTTTCTTTTTGGTAACATAAAGTACTGAAAGCTAAGCAATCAGAGAACATGAATGAAACCACCCGGATGCTTTGGAATTGTGATTTTGGAGAAAATTGTTGAGAATACCTCCACTGCCAAAAGAACAAATAATAAAAACCAAATTGCTTGCACCAAAAAAAAAAAAAAAACCCAAGTATTGAAGCTAAATCTTAACTATTTTGGACACTTTATGGGAAATGGGGAATCTCTGGAGAAGAGACTCTGGTTCTTGGGAAAAATTTCAGGCATTTGGAAAAGAGGTCAGTAGAAGACACGAATACAAGGGTCCCCAAACTTGGCAATTTTAAGACTTGTGGACTTCAACTCCCAGAATTCTCCAGCCAGCTATGCTGGGAGTTGAAGTCCACAAGTCTTAAAGTTGCTAAGTTTGGAAACCTCTGCACTAATATCACCAGCTTACAATTGTCTCAGAGACAATTATGGATGACAATTCTGGGAAAACGATGCCCTTCAACCCATGAAAATTCAAAAGCGGTTGAATAAAGGAACAAAAATGCAAGATGTGACCCAATCCAGATGGACATGTAGACTGGAGAAGATATCACCCAGTCTCAATGACCTTGTGAGTTACACCTTGTAGGTTGAGGACTTCAAGAGATTCCCACAAAACTGAAGTCCAGCCCCTGTTATGTCTGAATTTTATTGTAGCTCACCTGATGTCCTTTTCCTGCAGATTCTCTCTGGTGGACGCTGTGATCAGAGTGATGTTGCTTATGGCTATCTGTGCCAAACAAAAGGCCAGTTAGCTTCTGCATGGAGGCCTCCAGCTCTTCTTCCGTGTGTTCCAGGGCTTTTCCGGCACGGCTGGCAAACTGACTATAGGAGGTTGAGGGTTTCTCATCCTCTGGCTTCTTCTTGATCTCATCATCTGGCTTCTGCTTCATCAAAATAAGGACTAAGACAAACAAAGCCATGCACAGGTAGGCAACCCAGAACTCGTCCATTCTAGCAGATTCAGGAACCCAACTTCAGCCAGAACTTTCAATATTGCTGCAATAAATCGCAGAATTGGTAAAGTGTCCAGCAAGTTTTCACGATTCTTTAGGAGGAAAAAAAAACCTTACAATACTCCAATTAAGAGCACAAATAAATCTGTTCCACCGGATATTTTGGAAAATTGAAGTTAGAACTTCCTTGCTTAAAGAACTTTCATCCACCTTAGATGTTCTACGATGTTCTTCTCCAGCCAACACAACTAAGGCTTAATCGTCTGCAAGTTACAGAAAGGCCCCCTTTTTCTTAGATGTATTGTTAATTTAAGTTTTTTAAAAAAATCTCATTTCATGTTCTCATAATGTCCATTTGCTGTTGCTGCTTCCCTGGTGGCTGGTGAGCACTAGATGATTCTTCAGACCAGCGGAAATCAGACTCCCAGCCAAAAGTATCAATCAAGTTCAGGAATAGTTTTCACAATTATCCAATGCTCCTTTGCTATGTCAAAGAGGCAAGTCCTATATAAATAGTCTTGTTTTTTTTTCAAAATCCAAGATATTAAATTCCAGTAATTGTGATCAGATCCAGGATGTTTTAATTTAGTTCCTAAGACTTGTAAATCAATGAACCAAGGACACTTATCCAAAAAATGTTCTTTTTTAAAAAAAACTGCAGACCTAAACCTATAAGCTAAAGCTACTTTTAAAAAAAGATTTGCCAGAATAGAAGACTCAACCTTTTGAATTGTAAGAACCACCAGTAATTAGAAAGTGCAAATCTTGAAATCTCTTGAATTTATCCCCAAGGAGACTTGCTCGTCAGGAAGTAGAGGTTAGTTGCTTTATATGGCTATTGAAGTCAAGCTCTTTCTCCTATGACACTTCTTTTTCACTTAGCTATTCCATAGGAATCTAGTCAACAGGCCAATTAAAATATGGCACCCACCCCTGTCTTTAGCCAATCCTGGAAGAGGGTCATCACCATATACATCATTCATCATCTGAACAGCCAAAAAGTGAATGAGAAGGGCTGGCCAAACTTGGACATAGCTGAGTTCCTGTCAGACGTTTTTTGTTACTGTAGAGAATGCCAGAGCTAGAAGAAGGAAAAGCGATATCAAGCTATCACCTATGCTTTCTATTTTACACTTGATTTGCTGACCGCTCAGCCACAGCTTTTAAAATAGCCTGTTCTTAACAACTGAGTTTCTTTTCCTACCACCTAAACATTTAAAGGTTGGGGTTAGGGTGCTCAGGGGCTAAGATGGTAAGCTTGTCGATCAGAAAAGTCGGCAGTTCGGTGGTTCAAATCCCTAGTGCCGTGTAATGGAGTGAGCTTCCGTTACTTGTCCCAGCTTCTGCCAACCTAGCAGTTCGAAAGCAGGTAAAAAATGCAAGTGGAAAAATAGGGACCATTTCGGTGGGAAGGGAACTGCTTTCCTCTGTGCGCCTTCGGTGTTTAGTCATGCCAGCCACATGACCACGGAGACGTCTTCGGACAGCGCTGGCTCTTCGGCTTTGTAACGGAGATAAACGCCTTCTAGAGCTGGGAACGACTAGCATGGATGTGTGAGGGAGACCTTAACCTAAACATTTAAGATTGATTAGGAGTAACCTTGTCGGTGTTACCTGGGTGCAGCCAACACTGAGACACTTCATTCATTTCCCCCTTGATTCTGGTCTTCCCCCCACCCCCTGGATGTATATTCTCCAATGGGACACATCCATAGCCAAGAGTCATCAATCACGCTCTCCAGTAATAATCTTGCACGCCAACAGCTTCAGCTGCCTAGCAACTATCTGAAGCATTTCAGGAATGCACTGCTTTCCCCCAGTCCCTTTCTGCTGGTAACTAAAAAGACCAAAGAAGTATTTTTTAGTTGATACACGGACCAGCTACATTAAGACATCTTTCTAGAGGATTGAAAGCAATGGCTTAAGAGAATGAACTTACTAAGGCAACCAAAAAAAGTCCTTTTTTGGACCTCTTGGGATAAACAAACAAGGAAAATCAGAAATATCTTGTTCCTCCAACAGTTTTTTTAGGAAAAAAAATTCTGAAGGTATAAATTTGAAGGCTGCCAGCTGACCCAGTCTGGTTTGTTCTTATTTCTTTAACCGACATTCAGTCCTCAGGATGATAAAAATAATTGAGCAGATAATCTCTCTTTCAGAATTCCTAAATAGCCACAAATGCCTAGCCAATGGCCAATTTTCTGTACATTGTAGTTGGGTTCACACATCAGACTAAGTTACGAATTATGGAATATTAATCGTAATGGCTAGATTCATCCAACGAGCTGTTGATTTGAGAATAGCTTTGCACTAAAGCCTCACTGATATCAAGCACCTAAATTTTGATCACCTGATTGCGGGGATGCTGCAAAGTTGATAAGTGTTAAGTTCTGGTGGCAAGTCACTTTTTCCCACTGTCATCGTAACATGGAATTTGCTAAACAAACGGTGGCAAGTTGAGAACTACCTCTGCTCCAGACGTAAGTTTAGAAAAAGAAAAGGAAAAAAGCAAGATGCACAGCCTGGATCTCTTTATTTGAACTTTGATCCAGTGGGAACAATACCTCGATCTGCCCAGGAGGTTTCTATGCTCCCTTGCTGAGAGAAAATCAAACAAAGACTCCCGAGGTTTGAGTCATGCACAGAGGCCGTTTGCAAGGACAGATTGTCCTCCCTGACCTTAGTGTTGGTTGTGGGAACCTCCGGTGATCTTCTGCATCCCAAGAAAGAACCCCATTGTTTCAAAATGATAAATGCAGTGGCCAAGATTCAAAGGCTCCCACAAAGCATCCTAAATCACTGTAGACAATCCTTCTTGATATCCAGATTTTACGGAAGTGCCTAAATTGTAGACAAGTTAGATCAGCTGCGTTTTTGAGCATCAGCGTACAGGAATGAGCGGAGAATTTCCAATTCTCTCCTTGCCAGGAAAACCTATTTCTGCATAGAAAGTTGGCAGAGCAAAGTATTATATTTGTCTAAAGGCAGAAAGATCAAACTTGGTTATGACCTGTGGTCAGCTGACAAACCTCTTGTGACCGTATGTTTTGGCTTTTTTTCGAAAGAATTGGAAGAATTTAAAGAATGGAGCATCCAATAAGCCATGATAATTTTCACACCTTCGTGCCTCTCACCTGATTTTTTTCCCCATCTGCTTGCAGAGTGTGTGTGAAGAGAAAGCAGATTTGCTAGCATCTTGTCCGTTTTATGTACTTATTTTTTAAATTTATATGCTGTCCATCTCCCTGTCAGGCAGCCCTCCTTATCTCTCAATCACTTGTCCCATTTAGGAAAGCATTTGCGTAGAAAAATGCATCAAATCAGGTATTCCCTCCTGCAGCGCTGAATTTATAAACCCCGTATTTTATTAGTCTTTCTTTATCAACTTAGAATTTGCCAACTGGGCAATTTCTCCGCCCCCCCCCCTTTTCATAGGCCATGCTTCCATTCTATGTCCCCCCCCCACTCATGACTTCTTCCCACCCCACCCCACCCCCCCAAAAAGGAGCCTTTTCAAAATCGGCATCCTGGGGCCTTGCTTAGAAAAAGTTGAAGCAGAATTCCTCTTGCGATGGTCTGAATTTAAAAGAGGAAGGGTCTGTTGATCTGAGACAAGCTGGGGTCTGACAGCAAGAAGGTTCCTGAAGGTTCTTGGAGGTTCTGGCTCCTTCTGCAGACTTTCTGAACACCTGGCTTCTCTTCTTCCACATCTCTTCGTTCACCTCGGTGATGTGAGCTGCTTTCGAAGCTTAGGTGGAGGGAAAGGCAGGGATGAAAGATCAATGCAAATGTTTTGAAAGGCTGGTGTTCCCTACTACGCTCATTTCCCCTTGCTAGTTCATCCAGTTGGAATCTGTAAATGGAGAATAAGCTGGAAAACGTTTTCTTTCCATCTGGAAACATCATAATGTTAAAAACTAGACCTAATGAGTGCCTAGTTCACCCTACTAGAGTATTCTATCATGAAGAGAGTCAATTACCATAGATAGGATTGATCAAGATCCGGTTAAGTTCCTTCCCCAGACAGTTTGGTCTAGTGGATAAGGCACCAGGCTAGAAAATGGGAGAAGTTGAGTTCTAGACCTGCTTTAAGGATGAAGGCCAGCTAGGTGACTATGGGCTAATCAGCAGGAGACTAGTGAGTTCTAGTCCTACCTTAGCCATGAAAAAGCCAGCTGGGTGACTTTAGGTCGATCACCAGGAGAT